CTTTTAGTCGTGAGGTGCTTCACTTGAGACATCAGAGCAGCCCCACCGAGATCAGTAGGTGGCTGCATGTGGTAAAGGGCCCTGCAAAACCCAAAGGCCAGAGGGTTTTCTGACTATAGGGCAGCCACCAGAGCAGAACAGCAAACACACACATCTAACGGCGTATTTATACACATCAGATGAGAACAACTTGTTCAGCATGACACTGCTACTGCAAGTTACGTTAATGCATGCAAAAATCCTGTAAAATCTGGCACAGACCCACTGCGGTTTAATGCAAAGCAGCCTAAAAACAACCGCAACAACAAAAAGCCAACCATACCTCTCTTAACAAAAAAAAAACAACAACAAAGCACTTAAAATAGAGCAGGGAGAAAGAGAAAAATAGCAGTGCTGATTTCCTCTTTCGCAGTCAGCTAGACAAGTGAACTGCTAGCATTGAGTTATGTATTTACTACCCAACAGCTCCAGTATGAGACTGGCTTGCCTCAGGACTGAGCACTGAACACTACTGAACCTTTCCTCTGCACCCAGAGTTGCGCTGTGTCAGCGTGAAATACAGACCTATCTGTAACACGGAGGTGAAAAACAGTTCCCCAAACAGCAACTTGCAAATACCACCAAAGCCAAGGTTTGTACGTGAGGAAATTTAGCTTCAGGCTGTTGCCTCCAAACAGCAGTGCTAAGTACTCCATGAGGACAAGTAAATCTTGATTTTTGGTCACATCAATCAGCAAAATCTGTATCTGCTGTCAGTGGAAAAGGCAGGACGGAAAAATGGTGAACTGCAAAACAATTCCAGCGAAGGGTCATACAGGTAACAGTAACCAGAAAACTTACCAGGGGCCCTAATCCTGATCCTGGGAATCTAGTGGTAGTTTGACATTAAAGTTCAACAGAAAATGGGACTCGACCTTCTCTCATGTGAGGTACTCTGGGAGACACAGAGTGAAGTCTATAAATTACCCCCTGCACGGTATTCTTTTTTTGCCTTTTCTGTCTCCCTACAATCAGGTTCCAGGGGCAGAACAACCTATGCAAATACAATTCTCAGGTTTTTTAATATAATCAAACAGCCAGGAATCTGACAGCACCACTTCCTACTTTTTTAAAAACAAAGCTATCATGGCTAAAAACCAAACTACATTACATCTCTGCAAGGGAATAAACAAACCAGAGCAGTAAATAGTGTCCCAAATGCGGAGCCGTGGCCAAGGCCGATGGCCTTTGCCACTGAATTCACATGACACAAGCGAAAAGAGGATTTGGGCTGGAAAAGTCTCACCCCAGTTCCCAAGAGATGGAGTACGGTGCAGAACCACAGAACCAAATCAGGCTTTCAAACATTTGTATGTTTATTATTTCAAAGTACAATATATACATAAGGTATACTGATATCTTCAAAAACTTTATACAGAAACAGGTATCTACAAAATTAAATCAGTAGACATTCTGTGTATATTCAGACAACACACATACATATATTGGAAGATTCAACGTAGCTTCAAGTTCGAACACAAAAATGGGAAGGAAACCCCCCACCCACCTTGGAAAAGCTGTAAATACCACCCAGCTCCCTCTGCACCGCAGCCGGCAGCTCTTCGACAGGTTTCAGGCGATTGTGGAGACACAGTAAATCTGATTTCTAGTGCCACCTACTGCCGATAGTTACCACCGCAGTTATTTCACGGCCAGCGGGAAGGGGGAAGGACGAGCCTTGTTTGCTCTCTCCTCGTTTGGTCTCTGCAGTGTACGGGCACTCAGCTTCACGCTCAATTCAGTGGAAGCCAGAAATCCGATTTTATTTTTTTTTCGTTATGAACCAAAATATTGTGATGAAAACTATTTTTAGAAGGTAATTTCAGTTTTATTAGCTGGAGATAGTGCAGGTGTTGCCAGCAACAAGTGAAGATGATGAGAACAAATCTGTGGAACAAATCGATCTCCAGTTTTCTGGAAACCAAAATTCAAAATACTGCACAAGTCTACGTGGCAGAAAGCCAGCGACTTCTGTAGCATAAAATGGTATTCTTTAGCTCAGAGGGTCTGGCTTTAGACAATGACAGTGCTGGATTTTACAGAGGGTGGAAAAATATTGGGAGCTTTCCTGTAGGGCCTCTAACTACATCTGGATGTGTGATGCTTGAATTAAAAGAGCACCCAGAGTATTTAAGAAACAGATGTTTAAGCCTGTAGGACAGAACTAGCTACAGGCTTGAGTTTTTGAAAAGCAGCCTGTGGCAATTATGTGTCTAATGGACACTGAATTTCAATGACAGGTATGTAGCTAACTGCTCCAGGCTGCCTTCAAAATTAGTTTATCACTTTATCTTTAAAATTCAGTTTATCTGAGGACAGCTTTCCATCTCAGGCTCATAGTATAAAGTTTCCAAATGAGAGTAAGTGAAATGTGATTGCACCTACTCTGCACCAGCTGGTGCTCACCTGTGTGAACCACCCCACAGACACCCACCTTTTCACAGGACGTGTTCTCCTTACGTGCACCAGCAACATTACACTCCTGATAACCTTCCCCATGAAAACAAGAGGCAGGGGGCTTGTAACCAACACTTTTATGGCTAACATACCACTGCCTCTCAGAAATGAGTGTTAAGCAAAGTCAATGGCTGATCAGGAATCGTGTTTTCATCGCATTTTGGGCTTACTGGACAGAGGGGTCATTTGCTAATCTGTGAGCTACAATGAAGTGTCTATCTCTACTAGGTATGTTTAAAATAATGCCTGCAGAAGATGACTTTGGTCCATGAAAATACCATGCACAATAAACGAGGTGGTGTTTTGGATGCGTTGTGTGTCTCCAGAACCAAGAAAAAAAGAAATATCTGAAAAGTTACTAGTGCTACAAAGAGGAAGCAGCATTTCCAGCAGGGCAGGAGGACAGCTCACTAGGTTTCTCAAATAACTTAAAAGGAGAAACAACCATGCCAAAAAGAAATAAGAATTTCCACAATGTCATTGCACTTTTTCCATCTCCACCACACCTCTCCTTCATTCACACTGTACACCTGGAGAACATACATTAAATGATTACAATATTAACATGGTATCTAAAATACTGGAGTCATTCAGCTGAATGCCTGAAAAGATCCAGAAATCTGGTACATTAAAGCATGAAAACACAAACAGACAAGAGCTAAGCTATGTTTTGACATGCAAACTGTTCTAAATTCTTTCAGCAGAAGGTCTAGTTCAGTCACAAACAACTGCCTGTTCACTTCCTGGAAGCTGGTGACAAATCTGCTTCAGCAGAGCCATGTATTTTCCTCCTTGCATCACCTGAACAACAGTAAAGCAGAGGCAGCCCCATGACTGGACTGGTCCAAATTCCCTAAACACTTCAGAGAACCATTGCTCTCAGGAATTAGAAAAATATACGTATAAAACCCCACCCAGATTAAAGGCTCACAGTTTCTGCAATGCTCGGTCAAGTTTTAAATAATTTGCTTCCACTCTCCCTTTCTAAACAAATACTTAATCCTCTGACAGTGAAGGAACCTGCCACCTAAGACTCCTGAGGCTCTCTGGACCCAAAATTAGGTCTTGATCCCACAAGGACTTTCAGAGATACCTCTCTTTAAAGTAAAAGGGAAGTCTCACTGTCTGGAATCAAACTACTCGAACCAAATAGGGCCCATTTGCTCCACTTGGTTCATTACAAAGCTTAAGTGACTCAGTGGCACCTGAAAATGGAGCACACCCCCGTAAGTCACCGAAAAGCTTAGATAAATTCTCTGCCTGTGTCCTACCAGATCCAGGCCCCTTTGCCTTGTGTGGGATGCAAGTGGTGCCTGTGATAAGATAGATATGCCCCCCCCAGTATCTTTTCTAATTAAAATAGCTGAAGCACTGCTATTGTTAATGTACATTGAATCTTTTCTCATGATAATAGGAAGTTCAAGTATTTAATAAAACCCCTAAGTATATTTACACTATGATCTGGTCAATTAATTTCAGTCAAAAGGCAATAAATCATACATACAGAAATGGATGCATTTACTGCTGGAATACAGGTATTTCAGATCCTGTAAATTACTTATCCTGGAATTAAAATGCAAAGATGATGTCACTAACTGGAATCTCGTCACCTTGATACTCTTCCTTCATCACCCTCTCAGCCACTGAAGGACTAAATAACAGTTCTGAGCTTGTGCCATTTTGATCAAATAATTCTTCACAACAGTAAAATTAAGGAGTCAAGAGATTTCTGTGCCGCTTTCACAGTCCAACCAATAGATGAAAACTCAATTGAGATGTATTTTCCATTTCTTACTATTGCTTTCACTAGCTTGTCTAGTCACAGTTAATGAGAAAATTCACTTAGTTTCCACTTGTCTTGGAAAACAGATCTTCTGATATCTGAAAACAGATGCAATCACAATGTCTACCCATACATATGGAACAAGGGGCAGTTAAAACTCCTACTTCTAAAGCTGTTAGTTATGCAAAAGGCCAGATAACTTTGTTAACCAATTATCTGATATCAGACTTCTTTAGATCCTTACATCTAAAGATGAAGGGTTTAAAGGATTTGTTGAACTGACATTTGTTTCGGTTACATATACTTAATGACCAAGACAGAAAGCTTCCTAATTCCTTAGTTTTACTGTTGTTTCAGTTCTTTTAAATATAGAAACTGATCAGCTGAACGTTAATCTAAAGCAGAAAATATAAAATATCATGGCCACCACTTAAAAACCAAAATTTTGTGATAAAGCATTTTTCCATGCATATGTCAAAAATGCTTAATCAACCTAAATATCAGAAATTCAACCTAAATATCAGAAATAATATGCAGGAAAAGAAATGATGCCTGAAAGCCCTTAAAGCTCAGTAACACTGGATATGTTCAACAGCAACTAAGACATAATTGGTTTTATTTTTTCAAGCTCCATCATTAAGAGACTGATTAATTATACAGCGCAGGAATTAAAATCTCACTGCAACTCACTCAAAACACAGTATGCACTGCAAAGCATCTGTATGTAACTTCAAATAAAAGTTTCAGATAAATGTAGTGTGTAGTAAAATTCAGCAACACCTCAGGCAGGTGTTGAGTAGACAGAATCAGATTGATCCCAAATCCTGTAGATCTCACACCAGTAAGGACAGTCTGTAGGGTTAAAGGCTAGATATGCTTGTGCTGGCAGGCAATCGAATTTCGGGAAAAATGTAAAAAACAGTGGTCTGTTACACCTGCCTTTTCTGCATCTTCATGCTGGTTATTCCATGAAAGTACTAGTTATGTCTGCTTTATTCTCTGTTCCAATTCATGCTTGTGTTTAATAAGCCGTTCTATTTCTGTTCCTAGAGTTTGCAGGTTTTCCTTTGGGGAAGAAAAAAAAGGGGTAAGGTGAGTTATACAGGGAAAAATGGGTCAATCAGCACAAAATGCACGAGGTTAAAATTACTGTTTATGTCAGCAGGTTGATACTTTCAAGTATTCAGAACGAGCCCAAATCATTAGACACAATTTTAAGAAAGGCAAGATAATTTCAACAAAGCTCTCAGCAAGTTTTTGCAGTTATTTCAAGCAGCAGCCCATGAGTGCAGAACTATGAGGGTCCAAAAACAGGTTCAGCACAGATCTCGTCACAAAACTGTCTGACTGACCCAATGCTACCACCAGCACCAGTTCACAACTATCTGACCTCAGAAAAGCCTCTTCCTTTGAACAGCTGGAGCCCCTCCCCTACAAGAGCAGGCTGAGAGAGTTGGGGCTGGAGAGAGAAGGCTCTGGCGAGACCTTATAGCAGCTTTCCGGTACTTAAACGGGGCTACAGGAAAGCTGGAGAGGGACTCTTTGTCAGGGAACGCGGTGACAGGACAAGGGGTAGTGGTTTCAAACCGAAAGAGGGGAGGTTTGGATTAGAGATTAGGAATAAACTAGTTACTGTTACTGTACTGAGACACTGGAACATGACACCCAGAGAAATAGTGGATGGGCCCCTCCCTGGAAGTGTCTGAGGCCATTGGATGGGGCTTCAAGCAATCTGATCAGCTGTGCCTGCCCATGGCAGGGGTAGGGCTTGGAACGAGATGACCTTCAAGGTCTCTTCCAACCTAAACCATTCTATGATTCTTTGAAGGCAGTAGCTCAAAACCAAAAGAACACCTGAAAGAACTGATGTAGCTACTCACTTTCAATGTAATATTTTTCAGCAATGTATCTTCTAACACAGCCTGCAGCTTCCTGTTTATCTCTAAGGAAAGTTCCAACGTGAGACCACTATCTGCAGGATGAGATGTATACAGAGATGCCATAATCCCACCCCGGCGACTCAAATGTACTTTGTTGAAGTCGGACGCTTCCGATGATAGTGTTCCAGCTTCCTCCCGCAAAATGTAACTCTGAATAATTCTGGGGGGCGAAAAAAAATAAAAAACATCACAGCATTACAAAGTAGTGAAAAGTCAGATATTGCAAAAAAAAAAAAAAATTACTCAATGTCAGGAATCTGAAGTTACTTCAACCAGTACTGTATTACTGAATAGGCAGTGAAAAAAATCAACTCCTACAATGTCTAGGTCACAGGAAAATCTGGGATACCAGAAGTGCAATAGGAGATGCTGGTAAACTGAGTCACTACAATGTGCAAGGTTTACACATTCAGAAGAATTTTGAGAAAGTAATATTGCTACTGGAGTAAATAAGGTATTTCAAAAATGTCTCTACTTTTCTTTGCCAAAAGACTCCAGACAGGGAATCTTAAGCTTTCTACAAGTGAGACAAAAATTATGACGTCCCTCCTAAATAGTGATCACAACCTGTTCTATGAAACGTTCTATGAAATGGTATCAGACAGGTACAAATGTACAGGCTCGTTAAGCATAGGCTATACTTAACAGACAACTGTACTTTCCAGAGGAAGGTATATGACACAATTTCTTTCCCTCCTAACTGAATTTCCAAGCATCATCCTGTAAGATGAGATTTCCATGTAAATGGAATCTTGTCTCACACGTTAAATCCCAACCACCTTTGGCTCAGATACATTGTTCGATATGCAAGCCAGGCTGCTATCTGGAGTTATGCAGATTCTCCTTCCAAACCAAAAACTTAAAAGCAGCACCCTTTAAAGTGCATGAAGAGAATGGACTCTTCTGTTAGCCAGTGGCAGCAGCACACACGGTGACCACTATGCTACCAAAAAACCACTTGCATCAGTCTATTCCTCCTGAAAAAAATCTGGTTATAAACAGCTCAGCGATTGCTATAACTGCTGGGGAAAGATAAGAAAAAAAAAAATCCCACAAACAAAAAAATAACAACAACCCAAGACTAATCCTACCTTTGAGATTTACTGTCATTGCAGTAGTTTTATTGTTTTAAATGTTTTCATTTAGACAATTACTTGTCGTACATAAATTCCAGAACGCTTCTCTAGTGCACGAGCTCAACACTTAAAACTGTATGAAGAGAACTCAGAACATACTTTGTTTTCTTCCTGATTTCCTCCACCAGTTGTTTAATGTGATCCTCCATAAACTCCATCTTTTCATTTTTCCGAGCATGTGCCTTCTGTAGCCTTAGTATTCTTTCAACCAAGACAGCCTTGTCCACCTCTGGGAAGCTATCCACAGCGACTGAAGATCCCGTATTCTCAGGTGACCGATCCTCGTTGCTGCTGCGCGCATTAAGTGACCCTGCCAACACATCCATATTTGTAAAATTCTTTCGGCTTTTATACCAGGGAAAACATCTCCACTAGCGCAGTGCCTGCGTTCACTACATTTCATTAGCCTAGGATATTCTCTTCAGGATGTCATTTTCCCTTATATGCTAGTGAGGTTTTACATAAACAATCTTTCCACCATTTAAATGATACATGCTGAGACAGAAACACAGTCCCCCAGCACAGGCACAGTTTCTTAGCAAGCATATGGCTTGCTTCCATAATGCCTGTTCCTGCGTAAGTATTAATATACTGCTTTGTGCAACACTGAACTCATTTAAAACATACTGGTTTAGGGTCCATTAAAATATACCTGTTCTAGGGTCCATTAAAATTACAACACTACAAAAACTATGCACTGATGAAGGTCCTATGTATAAACACTGCAGCACCGACCACTTAGAGCTTTAAGTATTTTTTCTTCTTGTTCTTCTCTCTTAAGTATTTATCTCTCTCATACAGTGAGACTACAAGACACTGACAGAAAACAGATGTTTTCAGTGCTGAAGATAACCGTCTTATTTCAAACTTGATAGAAATTAATGAATTTTCCACAAATACATGAATGCTTCTAAACATGTTAATTGATTTATCATTCGCACAGTTGCAACTGTCAATAGTGCAATTAAACAATGTTGGAAGCCACAGCTCATTTTTGCTTTCCCTCTGGCAGCATTTAAGGGGGTCCTCTATAAACTGGAGTCCTCCAAGTTTCCTCCAAAAATAAAAGCAACAACAACAACAACAAAAAAAGGTAGGCATTTAAAAAGAACTATATAAACATTCAACTTTAATACCATAATAAGTACCTACAACCACATTCAGCCAAGTGCATTCTGGTGTTTAAAGGCTATTTTGTCAACTTTAAAGGGAAGCTGCCCACACACTGCATATGCCCAGACCACAGAAAGAGCACAGCTCGTGGACCACGGCAACCTTATTAAGATCGAAGGATTGTTTTGGCAGCCCTGCTATGAGCTATATTACCTGATGAACTGGAACGGCTCCCCATGCTGCTGACTTCTTTGTCATAATTACCATTTTCCATCTGATCCAATTTCCTCCGTGCTGAAAGCATAACAGTCTGATGGTTACCAGTGGCAGATTGAAAACCAAAAATCACAGTGTTACATGACATACAAAAATCTAACCCTCTCTAATCCACACTTGACAATTGAAAGATTATGGTAGCAACTAAAAAAAAAAACCTCAAACCAAACAGCCCCCCTCCTCTCCCTGCCTCCAACCATGGAGCAGCACTTGGATGCAACATCCCCAACAATCTCCACACCTTGCAGCAGTTGTGAATTGAAGGGAGTAATGTCATATAGAGGATTAGCTGGGATCAATAAGACTTATATTTAGATTTTGCTTTTGATTAGGACTGCCAAATAAGTAACTTCTGAACGACAGAATCGCAAATCTGTTCCAAGATCTCAAAACCGTATCGCCACTGAGAGCCAAGCGTAGTGCTTGTGCAGAAGCACCGCTCCACCAGCAGGACCTCTTCTTTCAAATACATTTCAAACAGATTTAACTATATTCAAATCTATTCACATCCGGAGCATATGCATGCTTGAAAACTGAAGTGGCTCTGTCTAATACACTAAAAAATAACTGCCACCAGCAATTTTTGATCCACTTAGCAAGTAGGAAACTTCCAGCAACTTCTGAATATACTTCTACACATACCAGGATCCATATATACCCACAGTGACATTTCAGTAGTCACACACATCCTAACGAAGGTCGAGCTCTTTTGAAATAAGTATTTTATGTCCAAGCCCATCTCAAAAGTTATATTCAAGACTGAAAATTGACAGTAAGGCCTGTCTCCTCTAACTGCAGTGTCCACAAGATCTAACTAGCTCACTCCCTCTCCCTGTCTTTAGGGACAGGGAGGGCTTGAAGGGCTACACCCAAGCAGTGCACGTACGCAGACAGGACCCGAGTCCCTCTAGCAGACACTATGGAGGGGCTGACTCATTGTATTTGAAAGTAATTTCAACCTAGCTGAAGTTGTTTTGTGAGATCCTTCAGGTTTGTTGCATGCTTGCGCTTCTGAGTAGCCAGTTCATCTTTCAGTTCATCCACATGGGTCTTCAGTGCTGTTAGTTCTTTCTGCTCCGAAGTCAGCTGAGCCTGTAGGGTCTCAACCTCGAGCTTCCGCTGATCCTCCTCCTTCTGTAACTTGATGGCCTGAAATTTTATCTTCTTTTCAGTTATACACAAAACCATTCCAGCCTAACCATACTGTATGCTGAAAAGCCCCAACTCTGCACTTTTCACCTGAGAATCATTCACGGTTTCCACTTATATTCAGGCTAAACACTACCACTGCAAATGAATATACAGCAGTAAGAGTCCTCAACTATTTCCAAAACATCTACATGACATGATACAGAGCCATGCAGAGCTGTACCCATGCAGTAGCACTACCTTCTATGACACACTAAGTTTATCAAAAATTGCATTGATCTCATAGTACAAACAGGACCTAAGAAATTGTTTACAGTAATAAATATCAAAAATTACAACCTTTTGATTGTTTCAGTGGCAGTTGCACAGAGAACAATTCTGTACTGCCGGAAAGAGCAACACAGCAACAACCTTCTCATTCCAGGGCACCGTGCCTCAGGATTTCTTTCCCCTTTGAAAGATGAGCTGGGCATATCTCACGGCTATTCTTCTATCAAACCAGCAAACTTGGTTAGAAATTGCATTCAGGTAAGTAACAACGTAAGGTGGAATTCATGTGCCCCATCTTTATCAATATCAGACATCTTCACAGGGCAAAAAAGCTACACACTGTACTCACCAGATCATCTCTAGTCTGTTGAACACATTCCAGCTGATTCTGCAGCTCTCTTTCACTGTAAGAAAGCTTATCCAACTGGCTCTGCAAGGAATTGTTTTCAGACTGAAGCTGCGCATTCTTACTGGTTAATTTTTCAGTGAATATCAATAGCTCAGATTCTCTTTTCCGACTACCTTCAATGTCTTTCTGGAGATCAGCAATCAGAGAATTGAAACCATCTACTTCTTCCTTTAAAGCACTGATTTCTTGTTCATCTCTGCCAAAACAACAGTATCTTATTATGGATAACCTGAGCTTAAAGATACAAAACCTCACCAAAATAAAAGCATCCCCGTCAGGACCAAATAAGGTGGAAGAAGAATTAATGACCCTGGAGTCACTGGAAGGTTTTTAAATGCCAAGGCAGTTTGTGGATTCCAGTTCATGACGTGTCACAGCATGGAGGTGACAGCTATTCATATCTCACAGAAGGATGAGAAGTTATCATTCTCTGTATCCAACTCTGTGAATTTCAGTATAGGGTATAAACAAAATCTTCAAGAAACAGATTCTGCAGATAAGAAGGAGGTCTGCAAACCCAAGGAAGGCGGTCATTCCTTTAAGAGACAGGGGAATACTCCAGCTTTGAGCTTCCCCAGGACAGCAGTACAGTGACTTCTGAAAACACCCTTATCCAAGCAGTGCAGCTCTGATTCAAAGGAGCTATCTTACTATCCCTCCCCCAATCCTCTACAAAACAAGCCCTTGCTTCTACCGAAGCACTCCCAGTAGGAGACTTTTGACCCATCACTTGCAATGCATATGAGTGAGAAAGGCCGTATCTTCAGTTACGATCGACATTTTAGAAAAAAGTACTGAATTCAATTCAAAAATTAAATAGCTGTTAAAAAAAGTTACAGATTGAAAATGTTCTCCTCCTATTTGCTCTTGCAATATTGTTTCATTAGTATAAGAGGTCACTCAGGTTATCTCTAGTACTAGCAATACTGATTTAGATTAGAAAACCACTTAATTTAAGACAGAGATTCTTTAAATTACAATGCATTTTAAAGCATCAATAATTTCAATATAGAAAAACTTTCCACATGCCAGATAATCTTTTAAATCATTCCTCAAAGTGCAGAGCTGTACCTCTGATGTTGATCCTGCAGCCGATCTACAGTTTTGACTCTGTCCAGCAAATTCTGAATTTCAGTTTTCTGTCTATTAATGATTTCTTTATACTTGGATAACTCATCTTCTGTTCTTAAACGCTCATCCTCTAGACACTTTACCTAAATAGAAAACAAATGAGAAACTACTTATGCCCTCAAACTTGAGAGCTGAATTACTCTGATCAAATGTCTAGATTGTTGTTATTTTTCAGTGGTTCCAAATAGCATAGAACATTATCCCAAGTATTTCATATCAAATACAATCAGAAGAATAAACAGACCAAAAAGGGGCATTAAAAAAAAAAAAAAGGAATTTAAATCAACCTAAACAAGTGTGATTAACAGTAGTTTTGTCCGAAGACTCACATGTATCAGTCAAATGGACCAGGATACATCATCTTTCCCCAGTTACCAAGCCAACCTCTTACATCTTCTTTCCTTTTTCTAATGTCCTAAATCCCTGCTCTGGATAGAGGCACTGGCACGCTAATCTAGAGCCTGTCCAGAAGTTATGGCTAGCATATACTCTTAACCAGGTGATGTGTACAAACTCTACAAAACTAACTTCACGGGCTGGAAGAGTTTGCAAATATTTATCATTTTCCAAACTTACTAAGTTTACAAGATGTTTACAAAAATGTTTCTCACAACTTTTCAATCAAAGGAGGCAAATACCACGAAAGAGAACATCGCTGTACTATGGATCAACTGGGACTCCCTAAGAAAGGCTACCCAGAGTCAACAGTTACGTACCCCTTCTAGCCTCAGGCCAGCCAGTCTCTAATCACACTGGTTATTTCAATACAAGCAAAAATACAATCAACAGATTGAATATAGTCTTGTTCCAAAACCCAACCCAACACTATGACTTTAGCCTCATTGCAATCCAACCCAGAACAGTTACCTTCGTTCTCAGTGTTCGAAGCTCATCCATGCCCTCTTTAAACGTTCTCTTCAAGTCTTCCAGTTCTTTTATTTTTGCATGATGCACCTTTTTAAAGAGTGAGAAGCTCCTTGAGTAATCTAAATGGACAGTGGCATCTCCTGGGATGTTAAAAAAAATCTAGGCCAATGCAGGCCACCACAACAGCTGAGAAGGCTTGAGGCAGATCAGGTAGCCTAAAGGTTTGTCTCACTTATTCAAAAAGCAAAGCCACACCTAAAAGCTTCTTTATTCTCAAAAGTACTGAGAACAAAAGTGAGATTACATACTCTTGCTTTAGATGTACAAATCAAAGACACAACAACCCCTGGAAAAAGGGGGTTAACTCTGAAGATGGCATACGCACATACAAGCTGTGAGCAGGTTCTAAATCATCAGAGAATTTACCTTTTGGGCTAGCAAATCTCTACACAGAATAGAGGCTGCTCCCTGCCTCTCCTTGCCACGCAGCTTGGCAAAATACCAGTCAGAGAACAGACTGCCTATCATCTGGATTTGTGCTCTAAATTACAGCAACATTCATGTTTATAAATAAAAGAGCAGTTATTTCATCCTCATTGTGTCATATTTCTCTCATAACTTTGTCTTTAAAAAGCGAATTCAAGGTAATGGCTAAAAAAAAAAAACTTCCAAGAAGGGCTGGAGTCAGACATCTGGGATCCCGTATCGGGCCAGTAAGTAAAATAATGTTTGGAAAAATTGTAAGCAGCTTAAAATAAGATTCTCAAAATTAAACACATATGACATTAAGTACTAAGTTGCCAACTGTGTTGTCACCACACACCACATACTTACCTCCAGGTGATCAGACTTCTCCTGAAGTTGCTTCTCTAGTTCTCCTTTAGTTACTCGGAGTTTTGCATCCAATTCATTTGATTTAATTTCTTCTGACTCCTAAAAGGATTGAAGAAATATAAGTAGAGTTTTTAAGTTTTACATTCCTCTCTCCAGTTTTAGGAGCATATAGACAGCTTTTTACATCACTGATTCTCTTCTACAGGTACCTATTCTAATTATTCTGAATATGCCAAGACAGACCCCACGCACTGCATGCCAAGCTAGACACCTTCCCTTCCATTTAACAAATCTCGAAGTAAAGAAACCAGTGACTAGTCATCTCAGCTTTGTAGCTTGCACAGGGTAATTCTTCCCTGCTACAGCTTGATATAGAAAGGGAAGAAAAAGAAGATTCAGATGCTAAATACTAATTTCACCTCCTGAGAAAAAGTGCCTACTTGATAGGTTTTGATCATTTCTTGACAGTTTTTCCTTATCTGGTCTGCTTCTTCTTTTGCTTCAGTTAATTTTGCTGTTGCATCTTTGAGGCGTTCTTTGGTTTCCTAAGAAAACAGTAATAAATAATGGGTAAAATCTATTTATCTAACTTAATCTGGGAAAATCATTTCTCGTAATAACAGTTTCCTATTTCAATCTGGAAAGAATTAACAACTAAAAAACATGTACAGCATTATTGTTCCTCTTGCTTCCATTCAGCTATTGCTTTATGCAATTTTATTTGTTCCAACACTGAAAGCACAACAAAAGAGTATCTTGGTTATTTTCCACGTACATTTTCAGATGATAGATTAGGTTTTATGTTATAGACTTAAATCTAAGACAATAGTTAATTCATACAAAAAACCCTCCAAATTTGAAGCTGATAATCCAATTAAACTGAATCCCCTCACACATCCTCCCACGACATCCTTTCAACATTTCCCTTTCAGTATCAGTATCTTTACAGAGCAATATTCTGACTTCTGCTGGAAGTATTCAAATTAAACAAAAAACACGTCAGCCACAGATTTTTACACCATATCAAAACCAGACTTTTACACTATATAAGAAGTAACTACATATATAAGAAGTAACTATATAAGAGCAACTACATCCCTCTGACTGTATTTTCATGTCATGATATCAATACCAATTCACTAACCTTGTGTGAATCCATTTCTGTTTTCAATTTGTTCTGAGCCCATTTTACTTTGATAACATGAGAATTGATTTCTTCTTTCAATTTTTCTATTTCCCTGTTGAGTCGAGTGGCTTCACCATCCTAAGAAGATTTCACAGATTTTGTATTATGGATTTAAATCACCCAGTGCTTCTACAAAAATACTCCTGCTCAGGTGTCAAATGCAGGGCTGGTTTTTTTCCTTAATGTCTGGATTTTGTAAAAGCATGCACTTACTTCAGAGTGCTCGATAATGCTTCAGCCCGTAATACAGTGGAAAAAACCACAGTGTTCTGACTTGAAAAGCAAGGTAAGGCTGCATTATTGTTAGGATACACTAATGTTATATATCTGTTAAAAGGCAAAGCACAGTCTAAAGCTCTGACTAAGTATCTTCTGGGTCAGCTGGGTCAGTTCTTTTTTTGGCAAAAAACATGATAAAAAACAGGTTCAAAGTGGTAAGGTCACATATTATGCAGGAGTACAAGAAAAAAAATCACAACACCAATGCAATGGTATCATGAACTATACAGGTGCAGACTAGTGTCTGCACCGACAGCAAAATGTGAACAAGTCAAACCATCAACCCGTGCCAAGAAAGGACGTGAACAGAGGGACAGCACAGGCGTAACCTTCTCTACCAGTACCCACAAAAGCACTGCACTAAGCCACACTTCCAAACTATGTTTCTGAAATAATAGGCTCATCTTACCAAAAAGTGCAAAGCAGCACCACATGAGGGCAGTACAAATCCTGTAAGGCCCTAGTGCAATGCTCAGGAGTTACAAGGATCTATCACAGAATCACAGAATGGCCTAAACTGGAAGGGACCTTAGAGATCATTTTAATCCAGCCTCCCTGTCGTCATACACAATTTGTCAAGTTTCGTTTAGAAAACCCAAAGACATGCTCCCACTTTCTGTTCATCCATGTGAGAGAGGATATGGAAGTGATTTTTTGTTTCAGAAGAATAATTTTTAGGACTTCTATTAAGATGTATTTTTCTGATCCATCTATGCATAGTACAATCGCTCAGAAGAAGCCCAGATCAAAGTTCAAATCCCAGTAATTTATCAATTTTTGATTTTTCACATGCAATAGAATTGTGAAGCAGAATACAAAATGGTATGGATAATTTAAGATACCTGCAGGAATCTTACTGGCTTTAAAACAAAAAACAAAAATGAAAAACTCCAACTAACAAAAAGCAAACTTCTGGAATTGGGCCTGAAACATCTTACTGCTTTATTACCAATTTTTAGCAGTTCAAAAGAGAAAATACAGAGTGAAAACACAGAAAAATAGCGAAAAAGACTGTAATTATTTAATGCCATTAGAGCCTTTAAAAAAAGAAATCCAAACCAGTTAGTATTTCCCTCAAAACTCAACATATCTGCAAGAAGCACTCTTGTCAATTTTATCAAAGAAAAACATCCTAATGTCTCACAGACTAATATTCAGGGAAATACTAAAAGGAACTTCAAAAATATGATAATGAGAACTCAGTAACTTCTTCCCCCAGAGGAAAGGGATTTTCACAGCTATACAGCAATCCCAAATGAAAATAGGTTTCTTTCACCAAGTACAACAGTGAACAAGCAATAAGGTTGTTCTGATAGTGCTTTTGTGCCTTTAATCATTCACTCAAGCCACACAGCAACAGAGTACCTTAGTTTCATAGAGCTGGTGCAATCTGGCTTTTTCCTGAGAAAGTTGTTTGATTTTATTGGTATGCTTTTCTATTTCTTTGTTCGCATCTCTCACTCTTCTCTCAAGTATCTCCTTTTCTTTCCGGAGGTCAAGTGACTCCTTCTCTCCTCGGACGTACTTCATCACCATTGTCTCCTTTTCATGGCGTGCTTCTTCACATTTCTTGTTTGCCTTGAACAACATTAAAATAGAACTCATCAATCTCATATTTCATCATTAGCTTTTATAAGAAACTACTGGATATTTTCAGCATTGCAGTATAGTAGCATGACAAAGCAGGACTCAAAAGCTCCAGTTTTCCAAAGACTTAGCATTAGATCCTACTGTTATCATACTTCTAACAGTAAACATATATCTAAGCAGCTGCAGCTTCACAGCTAAACACGTCGAATGAGTTATCAATCCGTTAATAATTTGGAGTATAAATTATTGTTTCAGAAGGAAAGACGTGTAACAAAATAATTTTGAAATACCCAGTACCAATGTCGTCTTCTCTCATCCACAGAGAAACTACACAATCACTATTCAGTGGCTTATTTTTACAGATATTCCCCCCACCCCAGCACTAACAACTTTTACTTCAAATAAAAAAAATAAATAAATCAGACACTGAGCTTTAGAATTCATACAATAAAGAAAATACTTGGCATAATATATTAAGATGGAAAAAAAAAAGCATCTCAGTTGTCAGTGATACATGAGACAAAGTCAGAGCTTTGTTCTGGAGTTGAGAAAAATATTAATTTTGTGATAGCCTGTCTGAAAAAAGTCACTGCCAGCTCTCACCTCCTTTTGAATTAAGATCATCTTACAGGCAAGAAAATGAGATTTCCTCAAGGGCTTAACTCCATACATATAAATATACACAATAAAAAGAATTATCAGGCACTCTAGAACGTTAACAGCTATTCAGAAATTCACTGATACCAGTTACTAAAAGTGCATATATAATTGCATGCTGGTAGCTCCAATTTTGGAAAATTTTGCCTTACCTAGTGGGCTAATAACCAAGGCTACAGTATCCTACAAGAACCAAGTTTGCTCATAACATATTCAATAATTAAAAGCTTTCCATATTACCTGTTCCATTCGAAAGGCCATCTCTTTATGCAACTGCTGAATAGCATTTTTGGCTGCTGCATCTTGAGTTAAAAGCTTGTCTTTACTAGCTTTCACTTCTTTATTAAGCTCTTCCATTCTTGCTTCCAGCTAAAAGATATAATTATGATATAATTATGATATAATTATAGGGGAAATAAAACTTTGTGTTTTGTACTGGCAGGAACGTTTCACACAAAATTAAATGCTTCAGCAGATATTTACCTTCTCAAGCTGCAAATATCCATATCAACATTTAGCTTTGTGTTACAGTACAAGCAAGCAAGATGTCGACGCTCATCTTCAGTGAGACTGAAGATGCATCACATCAAGTAAAACATGAGGCACAGTAATTTACTACATAAAAAAAAAAAAAAAATCAGATTGACAGCAAATGCTGAGATGCCAGAGCAGAGCTGGCTGTTCTCTGCCATTGCTTTGCCTTCCACCCTTTCACTGCTCTCCCTGTGCCATATCCTCCACTGCGCCAGCAAAGCAGTCACGCATCCACACCGAAATGGACTGGGAATTCCTTCACTGAAAAATAACTCGGCAAATAAAGAAGCACTTAGTCATTGTGGTGGCACTGTTTTTAGGCTCCCAGCGAGCCAAATGAGAGCTGAAGAATAATTACCAGTGTTCAACTGGAACGCTTCCCAGAGCGCGTCCAGCGCGCAGCCACGCAAGTCCAGCACCAGCAGCAGCAGCAGCAGCACGAGAGCAAGCGGTGGCTACAAAAGCTGTAATGCCACCCAAAAGTTGTTCGCATCATGCTTTAACGACTACCCTCTTCCAGGGGAGAGTCAATTTACCAACTGTTTTGTTCTGGTTTGGTTTTGGGGGGTGGGTGGGGTTTACGTAAGTACAAGATCTCAGGGTCAGTAGATTTTCTGTAATTCCCAATTGCTATGTAAAAAGGCAAGAAAACCCTAAAATGCTTCTGTTACTGCACAACGAATCAATCACACCCAGTTCAGCTTTCCACGTAAATTGTTCCTCCTACAAAAAACTCTTTTGCACATAAAAGCATGCACATACAGTTTGCTTACAGCCAAGTTTTTATTTACTTGAAAGCTACCAGAAAACACTAATTCAGAAATTGCAACAATAAAACATAGCACAAATGAAAAAAAACTCAAGCATTTGTCAACTCCAAACCTGTATTTTCTGACATCCTTGCATGTAATATCACAGATCCTACTTATCTGACCAGAAAGCAAAACAAACTCCTTCAATTTTTTTTTCTCCCCATAACAGGATAAAGCAATTACAGCATAATACAGCTTCATGAAATCATACAGTGCTATCAGAGAAACACACACAAGAAAGAATGAGTAAGCTGCTTATGGTGATTTATTCAGGCATATGCAAAATTCCAATCTGTGGCTTAAAAAATAAGACTTTTCAATTCCATTTTCAATCACAACATGGATTTTCAAACATTCTTTGAAATTAACCGAAGACCAACTAAGCCTCTACATATGTGGATGTATTTCTCCAGAACACGACACGCCTGACGCAGCGTTCTGCGGAGAGATTGCTGTGCGATGCAGGGATTCACAGAAAAAGCTGAAAACTAGGGTAGGACCACCAGGACTTTGACAAACAGAAATTAGTACTTCAAACATGATCTCATGCCAGATTTCTAAACTACAATCTGTAATCAGTTTATAGAGGTGCCCAACTAACTGTAGGAACATGAGCAGATAACTTTGTGACACACAAGCAGTGAGACCCGAGAGACACCTTTTCCTCCTACACCAAAACCAGCCTACCCCAACGCACATCCCTTGTTCCTCTTTGGCCCGTCGTGGGTTTAACAATTCCCTGGGGAAATGCCTGTGTGTAGTAGCAGACAATATCAAAATAATGTGCAATGCCACAGTTAATGTGCTCTGCTCTTTATACACATTCCACATATTGTTACTGTGGAACAACTGTTAACTATGCCCCTATGCACTTCTACTAGCAGATGCAACAGTTAATTTGTCGTCTTCTACTATTTCCTTTATGTCTACGTACAAGGAACAAACCATCCTATCAGGATACAAGTTTGAACGTGCCATTTTTTGTAAAAAGGTCTAACAGGCCTCCAGCACAGGGTCTCCAGCAGGAAGCCAAGGTACACAGAACCCACCTAACAGGGCAAGCCACAAATCAGGAACTCCCTTCAAGTGACTTCCACATACAGAACACTGAAGTGAAAATAAAATGTTCAGCCAAAGACACTGAACACTTTTAGCCAATGACTATTTTCTGGAATAAAGAGCAAATTTATCCTCCTAAAAACCTTAGCGTAACAAGCACGGGCAACTCTTTCCTTCACCTCCATGTTATGAAGGATGTCTTGTTAAACAGTGGCAAGAGTGACATGAGATATGGGTGAGCCCCTAAGCAGCCGTTCTGTTTTGTTATCTGTACCTGTTTAATAATGTTGAGGTGCTGCTTTTCTGTTTCTGTTCGTTTTTTCAATTCATCTTTTAAGTTGTCCTTCTCTGAGCAAATTTCCAAAATCAGTTCCTGATGTTTTTTATTTTCTTTAATCAATCTGTAAATGAGAAAACAAAAAAAAAGAAAAATTAAAACCAAGGTACACAAGCACAGTGGTTTTTCGTTGTTTTTGATTTGGAGATATATCGGTAGAGCTCTCTGATCTGCAAATTTGATTGGGAGTTGCAGCCAGAAACGCTAATGAAAGCCATCTCCAACAGCCTTACAAAAACAAAACAGAATTACGTTGTGCATGCAAAACTTAACTCCAGCAGCACCTTCCTTGTGAGGAAATTGCTTGCTTCTAACGTTTGGGGATTATTACGGTCCATGACGACTTAACACATTTTGTAGCTCTATGTAACTACAAAACCGTAAATGCTGATCACGTTGAGGTACTTGTAAGACAGTAACTTCCAGTCAGATGGTTCCGACAGTCAAGTGTCTGAAAATACAGATACTGTCCTCATTTCATGGATTGCTCAGAGTAGTCCTTGAAGTTCACAACCTTGTAAGAAACAGAAACCTCTTGGGTTTTTTTAAGTCCTAAGCAGATATGCAGCTACAATAGTGTCCATGCTCATAGTCCTTATAAAGTTCAATTTTTCAGCAAGTTTGTTCCTTTGCAGCTCAGCTGTCTGAAGCCTGTGTAAAACTCAGAAGTTACACAGTCATAACTGCTGAACAGAAGTCTGAATTGTACTTAAATGTTTTAAGACACAGTTAGATGGTGGACATTTTAGGCCACTAATTGTATGAGTTTGGGGGAGGCATGGATTTATCTGAATAAGATGTTTTAACATCCCTTTACACATATATTTCCATCTTTAGCTCCTCCCTCCTTTGAAAAAAATAATAATTCCCTAAACAAACATCTCTAAATTACAAGGAATTCAAAAGCATCAGTGAAGGAGACCTTAGTGCTTCTGATTGCTTTTCTAATCTATTAATGAATATTCCAGGACTACAAATTCTTAATTCACACAACAGCTGCTCTCTGGTGTATCTTAGCTCTGATCACTGAGTACAACTGACTGTTTCCAAAGCAATGTTACAAGGAATTCTGCTGATCACAAACAAAGGGACAAAAATCAGTCAGACCTAGAATGCCTTTTGGAGCAAACAAAATGTTCCAGAGCAGTTTTACACTCTTGAGGTGGGTCCCCAAGAGTCACAAAGCTGCAGCTGGGATAGCAACTGGTAATAAAAAGACCAAAGATAGGATTATAAAAAGAAGTTTCTGTATGTACACATAATATATACATGTATCTATATAAACACTTCGCCCTACGAAACTAAATGGTCCACAGTCAAAAGTATTGACCTGCCTTTGAGTTTACTGTAAACAAGTAAAACCCAAACAATTTATGATCTCCTGGAATTACAACCATCCACACACCCACCTCTTCAGATTCCCACTCCTCCTCCTCTGTAATTACTGAATGTCTAACTCTCCACTCCAAAGCTTTCCTGTCATCAACTGACTTTCCTCACTTCTATGATCTCTGTCAGAAGTTAACCGGTGAGGTGCAAGAGAACGTTTTCGCTACTGGGCATCTTTCCCTCTGCCTGGTTTCCCTCCCTTTGATGTCCTCCCCTACCATGGGATCAGAGTGCTTTCTGTGCAGAGTAGGACACGCACTTCTAGCTCTGCAAACTGGAACAAATTCCAAGTTAGAGGCTATATTTTATTAACAAAAGCATTCCTAAAAGGGTAATGGAACATGAAACACTAAGTGGGGAATTGAGAAGTAACGAAATGGCTTTTGATGAATATAAACATTCTTCACGTTGTATACTGCAAGGTAGAACTATTAAGCCCAGTTTATTATAGCAAAGTTTGTAAGCCACGCATTTCAAAAGCCCTCCAATAAAATGTGGAAAGACTGTAGTTTATATGATGCTACTAAGGCAAAAAAAATAGCTCTCGAGTGATTAGGAACTTTGGATTATGACAGGAAACGGAAAACTACTTGAAAAAGAAACAAGCGTTTTCAAACTCATAAATAAAATGCACATTGCAGGAGTTAGTAACTACAAACATTCAGTTTTCCAGAGGTGTACACATTCTGAAAGAATCCTAGACTATTTTTATAACACTATCACTTTTACACGATTGAAGTAGCTCTTGACAGTGGTGGGCTACTTAGTTGAACAGTTGGCTATACAGTCCCTGGCAAATTCCACAAGAATTCAGAGCACACATCTTTATTTACAAGTACGTACCACAAGTAAAAATAATTTCTCACTTAAAGAACACAACTGAAAACGCTCATTAATTGTCCTTATAACAACTCACAAGAGGCTACTTTTTTCATACCAAAATGTTGCATGCAGTTGCACAAAATATGCAACCGACATTGTGATGAGAATACTCAAATACTCACTTTTTTATCGTTTGCTCTTGCTCCAGGTATTTATCTTGCACACATTTTTCAAACACAGCCAAGGCATGTTCACCCTTCCGCACGCCATTTGGGAATTTTCGTTCCTTTGAAAAATCTGTAGATAGAAGTTCAGACTCTATTTCCTGTAGCAAATCCTCCTGTGAGGAAGTCTGATGTATTGTGGAAATAAGCTTCTTTGTGCAGTCTGTGTCGTAAGGGCTTTCGGAATAGATTTTATCGCTCGATTTTTTCACAAAGTCAGACTCCTCCCGTAGCTCCTGCAATATTTCTATTAACGATTGTTCTGTCTGATTAGGTTTTGGATCTTGTCGTTCAAATTCTTCACTAGATAAACGTTCTGGTTTTGTAGAGCCTTCTACCTTTCTTTCAGAGCAGTTACTGGCACAGCAGTCCACCCCTCCACACTGCTGCTCCTGTCTTTCTGCCAGGGCCCCGTTGCTGCTTATCCCAACAGCTGTTGAACCCTGATCCGAGGGCAACGACTTTGATTCTCCTTCCAAGACACCAGCATCATCTCCACTACAACTGATGCTTGGGATCTCCTTCATTTCAGATGTTTTATCAGACTTCTCGTTATCAGGGGACCCAGAAGAGGCGTCATCTGACACACTGACTGACTCCAGCGTGCTCTGCGTTTCTGGTAAATCTCCCTCCATCGTTTTCCTTTGGAAAGCTAGAAGTAAAATTCACATTACGTTACATTCCAAATCAAAAGGGAAAGA